CTCAAAACTTTATATAGTTCCATCGAAAAACCGTGCCATCGGTCGGCGGGACTTCGATGCAGTCTCGGGAACTGTCCTGACTCGTCCGGCTGGAGATCGAGTGAAGCAGTCAAGTGTACGAAGCTTCCTTTGCAAGTTTGGCCCGTTTTACGGAGCTTCTTCCGCCGCTTATTTCACCTTCCTGTACTGTACACTCATAATCAATCAAGGTCCTCTCGGGCAGTCATTGGTCAAGCTAAGTTGTCTTGCATGCATGAAAGCTTCTCTTTCACCACCTCTTGAAGGAGAAGGTGTGCCTGCCATGCAAAATCACCCTGGGCGTCACGGCGCAATGATATCTCGCTCTCGTAGATCTGATTGCTGCGAGTAACCTTATTAGGCAAGCACGTTGTGATTTTCAACCTTCCGCTTCGGCCGACACGCTCTGAAAAGTGGCTCAAAAATAAGGTAGTGAGGAGTCTGAGGGGTGGAGGCTAAAGTCTGGACACAAGAAATGGAAAAGAGTGGTCCTCATGGCACTCTTGGACGAGGGGCCCACACACTCAAAACCAGCCTTCACCAGGGAAGAACTCTCTGATTGAGCATCGCCAGATCTTGCGCAGTCGTCGTGGGGTCACGACGGCTTCGATCAGACGATCGCGGTTCATCCAGCTGAAATGAATTGTTCTTATCGAGGGAACACAAGATTTTGCTTTCTTCCTGCACTGTTCGTGTCTCATTGTCCTACCCCGTACCTGTAGCCGTAAATATCTCGGACAGGGTTTAGAACCACAAATTGGCCTCGATTGGGTCGATTGGGTCGATTTGCCCCATAAGCGAAGTTTTAGAAGTGCCAAGCCATCCAGGAGCCGTTGGTCGAGTGAAGACTCCTCTCCAATCCCTCGCTGCGAGAACATCAAACATCACTTCACGACCACGATCACGACAACGTCGCCTCTCTCAACTCCATTTACGACTCGAATTAATTGCTCACGGATGAATCACGAAATATATTAGTAACATTTGAACACTGCTCGAACATCTAGTGGATTGAGCGAAGGCAGGAGAGTGTCCTCGAACCCTGCGGGCGCTTGACACGATGGCTGGCACCGATCGACGTTCATCGACAGGAATCGACAGGAGGGCATCACAGAGGATATCAATGACACAGCAGGATGATGACGATTATGATTTGGAGGCGATGGGAATTTCTGATGGATTCAGACCGTCAGCAGCGATAACAAGCCACAACAGAATGTCATCTCAGACATCACAGCTCAACACTCCCGGCAGACGGACACCACCTCCACGACCGTCAAGCACAACAAAACCGAAACTCGACTCTTTTGCGTTAAGACACGATGGTGCGATGGGTCCAGTCGGAAGAAGTAATTCGATTGTTGCGTCGAATTTAAACGCAGCTCCGACGAGGTCATCGAGTGTCTCTACTAATATGGCCTACGTGAGGGCGGAAAGTCCTTATCAAGGTCCTTCTGGCCCCTCACATCCATATCAAATGTATCCACAGGAATCACGAATGGCAAGGACGATGAGTGTGGCAACGACTTCCACCGTTCAAGTACCAGATAGACCGTACAACGGTCCTGGTGGCCCGACACATCCTTATGGGATGTATCCTCAGAACACAGTTCCTGAAGCAGAGGTTGCTGGTGAACCGGCTGCTATACCACCAGTCCCTGTGGGATTCCCAGGATTGAATAATAATTACCAACGTCGACTGGGCCCCGAAGGAGAGGAGATTGCTGGTATCATCGGACCAGATGGACACACAGAAGAACTCCCACCATACACTCAGTACCCCGAAGAAGCTTTTGCCAGGAAGACTCGACCCACAGTGCAAGTACCTCCTCTTGCAGGTGCTGGTGGAATTGGTCTTGCAACACGGAATCCCGAATTCGAATCACAGGAAGATCTCAACACATCTCAATCTCGACAGTCTACTCGCAGCATGATGTCAGACAGCAACCATCAAATCAACATGGCAGCAGCAGACGTTTCGGAAAAGCCTCCGCTCAAGAAGTGGCAGCAGGTGGCTAAGAGGAAGGCTTGTGGAATTGTTCCTTATTGGGCTATCGGACTAGCCGCAATAGTCTTCATACTGTTTGGGATCATTCTAGGCACAGTGCTTGCTATACTGAAGCCCAAGCATCCGCAGAAGCACCAGTCCAAACCGGATGGTGACGATGGAAATGCGTAAGTTCTCCTCGAGCATTGCCATAATCTTGACTAACTCATACAAGACAAAGCCAAGTCACTGTGATGACTACTACTTTCGACGCCACACCACTATCTACTTCTCCTGCCGGACTCCCAGATCTACCAACAGGGACCTACGCCTTACCTATCTCAACTCCATATGCTATCCAAAGCAGCTGCATCCTCAACACTGCGATGAGCTCTGCCTGGACTTGCAATATACCGATGACATCTTATACTATTGACATCAACCAGATTATGGGTGCGAGCAGCAACTTGGATAACAATGAGATCAATCTTAGTCTAGGTAACAACACGTTTGGCGATTACTACGCATACGGCACACAGCCACCAGTCTTGACTCAACAGCAAGTCCTCAACCTCGTCATCGACTCCCAGGACCCAAGTCGAGGGCCAGCGTGGTTCTTTGAGCTTCCTTACAACAAAGTAGTCATCCTTCCTGAAGGCACCTTCACAGCACCAAGCAGCAAGACAAAGCGGGATGGAGGAGATTCCAACCCAGCGTCGGACTTCACGATGAGGAAGGATGTAGCTGAACCTGGAGATAAGCCATGGTTTTGCTACTGGAATGGCACTCTACTTGAAGCTTTCATTTATGTAAGCTTTTCATCTCTGTTTACTCGTGACCACCACGTACTGACTTGTTCCAGGTGAACCTTACTAGTAGTGCGGGCCGACAAACCACGTCTTCTGCGGCAGCAGCAAGCTCAACATGGAAGTCGGGCGCATCTCAGACGTCAGGAGCAAGTGCAGCTACCACAACAGGGCAATCCTCATCATCTTCAAGCTCTTACCAGCAGATGTCTTTCACGCCTGCGTACCCCAAAGTATTAAAGATTGAAGAGCGCCGAATCCCTAGAGGCGCTCAATCTATCTCTCCCTATTGTAAGTTTACAACCTTCCTTCTATGATTTTACTTACTGACCCTATCTTGCAGGCGTTCAGCATTACATCAACCCCGAAGGCTTCGCCGAACCATTCATGAACAGCACTGGGCAACCCGTCGTCATCTATATCAACGAATCCGAACCCTCCGCTGTCTCCCAAATCTCTGGCAAACGCTCCTACCCCGTTTCCCTTCTCGAAGACCGAGACCTAAATCTTGATCTCCAAACCAGGGATTTAGAAGAACGACAAAGCTCTGGTAGCTGTGGTTGTGTATGGTTATGGACTTGATATCACGTATATGCATTGGACGTTTAGCAATTGGGAGAATAGGCGTTTGGATGGGGTAATGTGTATATTCGCGACTGCGAGTTGAATTGAGGGGCGTTTATATGGTGTTTGTATGGATGATTTGGATTTTTGTTACGATTCTACAGACTTTTTTTTATGGGGTGTGGATTGGATGGGGTCATGGGCCTGGCTAAGTAGCGGCACGATCATGATGGATGGTTGGGTACATATAAAAGGGCGATTGCGAGTAGCACTACTATGGTGATGTTGAAGGATGAGAACAGTTGGACAGGGCATGTACATTGCGAACAGCAAGCAGGGGAATGTGAACGTTGTTCGAGGTATATATCTAGCGATACTTAAATGCAAATTCTCAACAAACTCCTCTCCTCTTTCATACATTGGTGGTTGTTTGATGGTCAGCTATGGTGGAGGGAGCTGTTTATGCTTGTTTGGTTCTGTTTGAGGGTGTAGATCTCGTCCACTTTGATCAGACAATGTCAGATTTTGTTCTCCGTAAATCAGGAGTTCGGATGGGACTGTGAATGTTCCATGGCGGGGAATTTTGTGGAACGGGTTTGATCTTCAGATATTTAATTTATCGAAGTCTGCCCATGTTTTGTAACAACAAATTCATTTGGTAAGATCTACTGTACTTTAACTTCGTGCACCTTATACCATCTAAAGTCATATCAAATATCAAGACTAAATGAGGACATTAACACTAAGGGAGCAACCATCGTTACTAACTACATGATTCGGTAACCCTTAAATTGAGGAGCTTGCTTTTATTGTGATGCCGCGGGGTTCATTGAGATCTGCGTGAAGGCTCTACTAGACAGAAAACGATATTGATATTTGTGGACAATCTCCTCAATTGTTGTTTCATTAAGTGGGAGAAATGGATTATCTAATACAACGGCGTATGTCTGACTTGCGGCACTGTTCAAAAGTATTCAAAGTGTAAAGACTAGGATAAATCTGCGTGCCACTTGCCTTGAAATACGAGATTACATACAGGCCGTGATGGAACAGATACAACTCACTCACATGGTTTGCAGCGGCAGGATCCTGAGGGATGGTGCGGGCTGCATACACGAATAGGCGAGGATGACAGCACAATGAAACCGAGCATGGAAGCAGCTTCTTGCGCTTCGACATTCGAAATCACTAGATCTTGCTCGGCTTTATCCTGAAGGATGCCCAGAGGTTGACAAAGAGAGGCCAGCTACAGTACTTGGCCCATATGAACATGCAATCATGCTGAAAGCAAGAATTGCCTTTTGGAACTGGTCTGCCACTTGATCAACGGTAGCAGAGCTAAAGGTTTCCCAGGCTCAAAGTCCTGAGGCGTGTTTGGAAGATACATAAAAATATATTCGAACTGTTTTGTGCCCTCTTCAAGTCACAGAAAAGTCACCAATTTTCATGTCGTCTGAGACTCTCGGTGTCAATCGTAACCCCAAAGCAAAGCTGCCAAACCCGCAGCAAAATAACACCATCCCCAAAGCAGGCGGCTACCTGACGTCTACCAACTCAGCACACCACAAAAACCACAAAGCATATATTTTTAAACGAGAACTTTCTCGGCAACAAATCAGAACAAAGACCTCTTGGTGCAGTGGTAGCATAGTCGGTGTAAACACCCCCAGACCTAGGTTCGATTCCTAGAGAGGTTCGTCTCTTGTCGGATAAAATCTACTTGGCAACAGGAGGACTTTATCAGACATGAATGGGACAATTCTTTTTTTCTCTTTGAGATCTGTCTTTTGAGATTGAATTTTGTTTTGATAGGGGCACTGCCTTTTGCTGATTTGAGTTGCTCTTGGAAGTTGAGTTTGTATTTTTGAACCGATCTCGCAGTACGAAGCGAGGTCCACCCCTTTAAGCAAGCGAACATGGAAAAGGAAGGTTGCTACATCAATTGCAATCTCGAATCAAGAAAGCAAGGGCTTTGTTTTCGTTCTTTCTACTTGGGCTTGATAGGATAGCAGTGAGAACTCACCATCGTTCACTCGAACCGGCTGGTCGATAGTTTTCTGAGAATCTGCAAGACATCTACCGTGACTCTCTCACTTAGGCCTGACGATCAAGAAGATGCAGACGGGAAACCAAGGGACCAGAAGAGAAGAGGTTTATTTGAGAAGGAGGATGACGGCTGCGGAGAGTTCAACCGGACTTTGGTGCCTGTATATCCATTCATGCTCGAGGTCCTCAAGAACCTTAGATTGGTGCTCAGAAGCAGGACCTTCTGTCCAGCATTCCCTTAGCATGATCTTCTGGAAGTGTAGCTTACTGAAAATGATTCCTGGTTGACAGCGTTTGGAGTATTGGGAGTTTGGCTTCTGAGCTTGACTCCAGTCTGGGACGCCTTCAATAGTGGCTGGTTGGATAAATCGTCCTTGAATCGCTCTCTCCAGACCGTGCTTTCAATCTCCTACCTTCTCAGAAGACCCAAAGTCAGCCAAGAGCCCGTCCAAGAAATTGTCGGCTTGCTTCTTCGCCCTCTTCTCGCCAATGGCCTTCCTTCGTTCCTCGATTTCCAACCTCCTTTTCTCTTTTTTCTCGTTTCTCTCTTTTCTGATTCTCTCAGTCTCCAACCTCTCCCTCTCCAGCGCCTCCATCTCCTTCCCTCTAAGCCCTTCCTCCTTCGAGAAGCTATAAAAGCCAACGCCCTTAATCCTAAACTCCTTATCCGCCTCATAATGTTTCATCTCCGGCGGCGTCATACTCCTATCCCTCTTCTTCGCAATCTCCTCTATCTTCAGCGCCACACCCTCATCAGGATTAAACGCCATACTCTGCACCGTATCACCATAAATCAGACTCTTCGGCATTGCAGGCCTCGCACTCATCCTATCCAATTCCTCCGCCCCTATCACCTTATTCCTCTTCCTTCTCTCAATCCTCTCAGCCTCTGCTCTCGTCCCCCTCCTTGTACGCCCATATTCATCTTCATAATCAACCATCTCGCCTTGTCCATCATCACTCTCTATCTCACTCTCCTCTGCTTCTCCTTTCTCTTGACCCTCAACCCATTTCCGATCAAAATCCACAAGTCCATCCCCATCTCCATCTCCAGCCACAAAATCACCCCTCTTCATCTTAGAATATAATTTTGCTTTCTGCTCCATTTTCCGCTTCGATCGATGTAATACATCTTCATCCACACTCCCAATATCCTGTCTGCCTGTTCTCCCCCGATCTTCACCATCTTCTAAATCTCGTGCTGCGCGTTTCTTCGTATTTCTATTATGCGAACTGAAGATATCGTCTTTCGTCTTACTCGGTCGCGGTCTACCAGCTGTTGTCTTACTTCCGTTTTCCGCCTTCGAGGAGGATAGCAGACTCGAGAGTGTAGATGTGAACGCGAGGCTTGTTGAGCTCGATATTTCCTTCGCTGCGTTTTTCGGTTTGCGGACCCCATAGAGATGGGCGTCGGATGTCGCCATTGTCGCAGAATGTTAAAGGGAGAGGGGATGTCGGTGTTTGTGTTTGTGTAAGTCGTAATCTTGGTGATTGTTGTGGATGTCGTACAGGAGCTGTGTAATGCTGAGAGATTCTGGAGCTTTGACGAGGCGATTTTTGGCGGGGCAAAATTTGGGAGCGAAATCGGGATTCATTTTCAGACCCCGCGTTGAATCATATCACATTTCAATTGTTCTACACAAACTTCAGAAACTTTCCTTGGTTTGGATATTGAACAGATCTGACACAATCACGAGAATGCCTTCTCCAAAAGACGTTTACGTTGCTGCAATTGGTACGCATTTATGCATTGCTCTGTTGACCACGAAGCTCTAACAAAATATCACAGGCGCTGGTGGGGTAGGCAAATGCTTCCTTGCTCAACTAGAAGGCCTCTCAAAACGACTTTCTAAGAACGCCTCTTCCCCCAAATTATCCCTTATCTTCGTTTCCCGAAGCAAGAAAGTCCTTTACAGCAAAGACTACAGCCCAATTGTCTACGATACACTCGTTAGCGCCCTCGACAACTCCTCCCAGGAGCCTCTCGCTATCCCAAATATTATCGAATACCTTTCTGCGGCTCCATCGAAGGTGGTTTTGGTTGATAATACAAGCTCGCAAGATGTGGCAGATTCATACCCTGCATTCCTCTCAAAGGGTATCTCGATCGTCACACCCAATAAGAAGGCCTTCTCTGGCTCATATAAGCTTTGGCAGGATATCTTCTCCGCTGCTGCAACTTCGGGAGCAAAGGTCTACCATGAGAGCTCCGTAGGAGCAGGTCTGCCAGTCATTTCTACCTTGAAGGATTTGGTTGATACTGGAGATGAGGTCATCAAGATTGAGGGTGTGTTCAGTGGCACAATGTCATTCTTGTTCAACTCTTTTGCTCCGACGGAAGGCTCTGGTGGCAAGTGGTCTGCTGAGGTCAAGAAGGCGAAGGAGCTGGGATACACAGAGCCTGATCCAAGAGACGACTTGAATGGTTTAGACGTTGCTAGGAAGTTGACCATCCTGGCTCGGTTGGCTGGATTGCCTGTTGAATCGCCAACATCGTTCCCAGTTCAGAGTCTGATTCCAAAGGAGCTTGAGAGTGTCGCTAGTGGGGATGAATTCTTGCAGAAGCTGCCGGAATTCGACTCTCAAATGGAGGAAACAAAGGTAGCCGCAGAGAAGGAAGGAAAGGTTGTTAGATTTGTCGGAAGTATTGACGCGGCGAAGAAGGAAGTGAAGGTTGGACTGGAGAAATTCGACCGCTCCCATCCTATTGCTGCTCTGAAGGGCAGCGACAACATCATCAGCTTCTACACGAAGCGATACGGAGCCAATCCATTGATTATCCAAGGTGCTGGAGCAGGCGGCGATGTCACCGCAATGGGTGTAACAGGAGATCTGATAAAAGTTCTTGAGCGTTTGTTTTAAATGGTCGATTAAAGCCATAAACCTCCAAAAATAAGTTACGCTGTTCAGTCGTCTTCTATTGTAACATCGCCGTGACTCATGCTCCCTAAACGCTTCTTCAACCCCTCCACTGTCTCCTCCGCTGCTTCGACTGCCGTAGGAACTCCTGGCACTGTCAGACGAAAATTCCGGGGCTTGCCAGAAGGACGCTCACTTAAGCTTGGAGCTCGAGGTCTTGGTCTGTTTCTCGCCCGCCCGCCGACATATGGTATCTCGTAGGTCGCTGTTCTGAACACGTAGAGGATCATGTCGTAGACAATCAGGAGAGCCCACGGTCCGATCGCTAGCATTCCAAGGATAATCTGGTTTGGAGAACTGATTAGCTGCGGCTCTCGGATGTCTCTCCCTATGATACTTACGAAGAGGCGGATCAACCAGGTCTCCACAAATGAGAAGCTCTCTGGTAGAATCGAAAACCAAGCCATCGTGAATGTTCGACAATGCTTCGCAGATTCCGGGCGATCCGTGATATTGGCTCCTGATGTAGGTATCGTGATGTGTTGTGGAATGACCTGATCAAGGGTTGATGAATAGTTTCGCGGGTTCAAGTGAAGAAGTGAGTGATAGAAGGGCCGATCCGTATGCGGCACACTCTCATGTCGAAGGTGCAAAGGAAAAACGTTGAGATGGAAGGAGCGATGAACAATAATACATGATAAAACATGGGTTGCACGGCAAGTCAAATCCTCGGCATGTTTGGATCGTTGGGAGCTGCACGTTGCTGATGACAATGACGCGAGCCCCTTGACATTTCGACAGGGGTAGTACAGTATCACAAGCAAGCGGCCGCAATCACGATAACGGCTCGGAAAATTGTCACTATTCAGCCTTGAGCTCGACCCCTCCTACAACACAACACAACACAACTCGACTTGCATGCGAACGTTCAAAGATACTAAGGACTTCTGCAAACATGGTTGGGCCTGCGAATAAAAAACAGAAGAGAGAGGAATACAAAAATGCTAAAGGAGACAAGCCTGCGACGGAATTGCCTAAGAAGAAATTCTACAGGCAGAGGGCGCACGCAAATCCGTTCTCAGATCACCAATTGACTTAGTGAGTGTTGAACTTTTGATGTTCGTGTTTCTTACTGACATTGTGGCAGCCCTGCTAGCCCTGCGCATATGGATTGGTCTACATATTATCCGGCCTACGTTCTCGATACTTCAGCAGAACAAATCGACCCGGAAGATCCAGCCAAGCTCGAGACAGGCACCACAGTCAAGAAACTCAAGCAAGATGTTGAAGTCGCAGATATCGGGTGTGGGTTTGGAGGGTTAACAGTTGCCCTAGCTCCTCTGATGCCAAATACCCTAATACTAGGTTGGTGATTCCTCAATGTCCCAAACCAGGACTGACCTTCGACCTAGGCTTAGAGATTCGAACACAAGTGACAGAATATGTTCAGGAAAGAATAAGGGCATTACGGGCTCAACACCCTGGGCAATATGAGAATGCTGCATGTCTGCGAGCAAACACCATGAAGTTCTTGCCAAACTTCTTCAAGAAGCATCAACTCTCGAAGATATTCCTCTGCTTCCCGGACCCTCACTTCAAGGCTCGAAAGCACAAAGCTAGGATTGTCTCTACAACTCTAAACTCGGAATATGCATATGTGGTCCGTCCAGGAGGAATCATCTACACCATCACCGATGTGGAAGACTTGCACAACTGGATGGTCTCGCACTTCAATGCTCATCCGTCGTTTGAGAGGGTATTAGAAGAGGAGCAAGAAGCAGATGAGTGTGTG